AGGTATATATTAAAATAGTTCATGGGGCAGACTTGGTGTCTAATAAAGTTTATTGAAAATATTATTTCAAAAAGATTCTTTCATTAAAAATAAAAATGTACTACCAATACAGAACTTCCTTAATGTTGTAAAAACATGATTAAATTTATTAAAACCTTAATTTGTGCGCAAAGTTTCAGGATCATTTAGATCACTTTAGAAGGGGCTATAAACTGTAGAGTAAAATAAAAATAAGAAAACAACTAACATAATGCATTCATCCCTCAGTGGACTGGTTCCAGGACCTACGGCAGATACCACAATCCATGGATTCTTAAATCCTTCAGTGGACCTTGGGGAACCCACAGATAGTAAAAGTTGGTCCTCCACAGCTGAGGTTCCGCATCCCACAAACACTGTATTTTTGATCTGTGGTTCTTGAATCCACAGATGCAGAACTGGTGGATATGGAGGACTGGCTGTATAGTGCTCCAAATGTTTTGTAATTCTCAAAACATTTAACCTATGTTAAAACAGCGCTGTTATTGTTATCCCCATCTTAAAAGTGAAGAAACCATGAATCAGAGATGGTAAGAATGTATCTAAGACTAAGCAGCCAATAAATAGGCCTAGAAACAAAGTCTCCTGACTTGGATTCTTTTAGAGACTGATGCTTCTTTATTTTTCAGTGCTTCTCTATTTTAATGGCTATTTGATTAATGATATTGAACTGATCTGTGTCATTATGTCTGTCATCTTTTTGTGCTATGGAACTCAATGACTGTTACCCAGAGTTTTTGTTGTTGTTATTTGTTTTTAGAGACAGCATCTTGCTGCCACCCAGGCTGGAGTGCAGTGGTGCAATCTTAGTTCACTGTAGCCTCAAACTTCTGGGCTCAAGTAATCCTCCCGCCTCAGCTTCCTGAGTATAACTATGCTTGGCTATTTTTTTTTTTTTTTTAATTTTTTGTAGAGACAAGGTCTTGCTATGTTGCCCAGGCTAGTCTTGAACCCCTAGTTTCAAGTGATCCTCCCCACTCGACCTCCAGAAGTGCTGGGATTACACACGTGGGCCACCCTGCGTGGTCATCACCAGAGTTTAAAGCGAGAGTTCTTAAAAAGGGCTTGTGAAATCCCACATGATCTGTGTTTTTCCCATTTACTTTTCTCTTTGTTCACATTTCTCCTGCCACACTAGGCTTTATATTACTATTTCTCCACTGTATCAGATATGCTCCTCAGTATCTTTGAGGTTTCTGTTCACTGTGCTTGGAATTCTTTCTCTCAGGTGGCTTCTTCATCCCTTTCCAATCTTTGTGCAAATGTAACCTCAATGAGACCATTGTTCATTATCCTATCTAAAAGCACAAACCATCCCACATTATATGTACTTCCTATCTCCTTTTCTTAGATTGCTTTTGTTGCTACTTAGAACATAACCGTTCTAGTACACTGTACAATTTATTATACATTAAGGTCTTGTCTGCCTTTCGTCATTATAATGTTATTTCCAGTGACTGGTTCAATACGTGACTCAAAAAACATTGAATGAAGTAATTCATCAACAAAATTCAGTTGATTAGACAAAACTGTTATTAATACAGGTATACCGCTGAGGTATTGCAGGTTTGATTCCAGACCACTGCAGTAAAGCAAGTTGCAGGAATTTTTTTGTTTTGCTGTGCGTGTAAAAGTTATGTTTACACTATACCACAGTCTATTAAGTGTGCAAAATAGCATTGTCTAAAAAGACAATGTATATATCTTATTTAAAAGCTACAGTTAGAAAATGCTAATGATCATTTGAGCTTTCAGTGAGTTGTAACCTTTTTGCTGGTAGAGGGTCTCGCCTTGATGTTGATGGCTGTGACTGAATCAGGGTGATGGTTGCTGAAGGTTGAGGTGGCTGTGGCTATTTCTTAAAATAAGACAATGATGAAGTTTGTCGCATTGATTCTTTCTTTCACCAAAGATTCCTCTGTAGCATGTGACAACATATCAAACAGTGTAGCTGTTTGATAACATATTCCCCACCGTAGATCTTCTTTCAGAATTGGGGTCGAATGCTGACACTGCAGTAATGTTCTAAACAGCATCTTCACCAGAAGTTGGTTTCATCTCAGGAAACCACTTTCTTTACTCAGCCACAAGAAGCAATTCCCCTGTTCAAGTTTTATCATGAGATTGTAGCAATTCAGTCACATCTTCACATTCCACCTACAATTTTAGTTCTCTTGCTGTTTACATCCAGTTACTTTCTCCACTGAAGTCTTGAGCCCCTCAGAGTCATTCGTAAGTGTTGGAATCATTAACCAAATATCCTGTTAATGTTGATATTTTGCCCTCTTCTTGTGAATCCTGATTGTTCTTCATGGCGTCTAGAATAGTGAATCCTTTTCAGAAGGTTTTTCAGTTTACTTTGCCCAGATCCATCAGAGGACTCTCTTTCTGTGGCAGCTATGGCCTTATGAAATGTGTTTCTTTTTTTTTTCTACTTTTTTTTTTGAGACGGAGTCTCGCTCTGTTGCCCAGGCGGGAGTGGTGTGATCTCTGCTCACTGCAAGCTCTGCTGCCTCCCAGGTTCACGCCATTTTCCTGCCTCAGCCTCCCTAGAAGCTGGGACTACAGGCGCCCGCCACCATGCCCGGCTACAGTTTTTTTATTTTTAGTAGAGACGGGGTTTTACCGTGTTCGCCAGGATGGTCTCGATCTCCTGACCTCGTGATCCGCCCGCCTTGGCCGCCCAAAGTGCTAGGATTACAGGCGTGAGCCACCACGCCTGGCCCGAAATGTGTTTCTTAAATAATGGGACTTAAAAGTCAAAATACTCCTTGATCCATGAACTGCAGAATGGTTATTGCAGGGATGAAAGCGACATTCATCTCTTTGTACATCACCATCAAGAAATCTTGGGTAACCAGGTGCATTGTCAATAAACAGTAATATTTTGAAAGGAATCTTTTTCTGAGCAGTAGGTCTTCAACTGTGGGCTTAAAATATTCAGTAAACCATGCTGTAAACAGATGTGCTGTCATCCAGGCTTTGTTGTTCCATTTGTAGAGTATAGTCAGTCTAGATTTATCATGATTTTTAAGGCCCTAGAATTTTCAGAATGATAAGTGAGCATTGGCTTCAACTCGAAGTCAACAACTGCATTAGGTCCTAATAAGAGAGTTGGCCTGCAGCTGGAAAGGCGGCCGCCCCCTCGCCCGTCACACAACGCACATTCTTGGGGAACCTGGTGCTAAACCATTTGTAGACGACCTGCTTCTGGGTCGGGGTTTTGTATGTAGCAGAGCAGCTCCCTCACTGCAATCTATTCAAAGTCAGCCCTCAACACAAGGGTTGGAAAAAATTAAAAAGTAATTAAAAAAAAAGAGTCAGTCTGTCCTTTGAAGCTTTGAAGCCAGGCATTGACTTCTTTCTGACTGAGAATGTCCTGGATGGCATCTTCTTCTATCTGTCCATATCATTGTCAGTCTTCAACTGTTTCTTCAACAGATGACAGTCTTCATCTGTCAAACAGTTGATGACTGTTTCTTCTTCAACACTGAAAATCTGCTAATTAGTGTAGCCATCAGTTAGCTAGATCTCTGGATAATTTGCTGTAGCTTCTCCATCAGCATTTGCTGACTCACCTTGTATTTTTATGTTATGGAGATGGTATCTTTCCTTAAACCTCCTGAACCAACCTCTTTTAGCTTCCTGCTTTTCTTCTTTAGCTTCCTCATCCTCTTTTTCTCAGCTTTCATAGAATTAAAGAGCGTTAGGGCCTTGCTCTGGATTGGGCTTTGGCTTGAAGGAATGTTGTAACTGGTTGGATATTCTATCCAGGCCACTCAAATTTTCTCAGTATCAGCAATAAGGGAGTTTCGCTTTCTTATCATTCAGGTGTTTACTTGAGTAGCACTTTTAATTTTCCTTCAAGAGCTTTCCCTTTGCATTCACAACTTGGGTTACTTACTGTTTGGTGTAGGAAGCCTACCTTTCCGCCTGTCTCGGCTTTCAACATGCCTTCCTCACCAAGCTTAGTCATTTCCAACTTTTAACTGAAAATGAGAGACATGCGACTCCTTTTACTTGAACACCTAGGGGCCATTGTAGGGTTATGAACTGACGTCATTTCAATACTGCTGCATCTCAGGGAATAGGGAGGCCTGAGGACAGGAGAGAGTTGGGGAAACAGGTGGTCAGTGGAGCAGTCAGAATACACACATTCATGGATTATGCTTGCTATCGTATATGGGAGTGGTTCATATTGCCTGAAAACAATTACAGTAGTAACATCAAAGATAACTCATCACAGGTCAGCATAACGGATACAGTAATAATGAAAAAGAATTACTGAAGTGTCACATAGACATGAAGTGGGCATATGCTGTTGGGAAAATGGTGCTGGTAGATTGGCTTGGTACAGGGTTGGCACACACCTTCAATTTGTTAAAAAGGCAGTATATCTGCAAAGTGCAATTGAGTAAAATGCTATAAAACAAGGTATTCTTGTACTCATTTGTTTTTAATTCATAAGTTTAACATTTGAAGTCCTTTTAATCAGGAGTGTGCATTTGTTGATACCATGGAAATTTAATTCACCAAGATTTATTTATGACTTAAAGGTTTCTTTTGAATAATTATACATATCCTTTACATAAAATCTGTCTTTTTTGGAAAAATACAATTCTGTGTAAGACGGATAACAATATATTAATAAATAGAACAATTTAGTATTGACAGATATAGGATACCAGCTGAAATATAATTTCTAGGTTTTTGGAGAATATTTTCCTTATGAAACCATCTTTTGAACATTGAGCTTAAGATAGGTAGGGATTGATGTCACAGTGATATTTTAAAAATGTAAATGATGAAATTTAAAAAAATATGTATTAGAATGCTATCAGTTCTAATCCTTTTTATGATGAGTTTTAATTCTGTATTCAATATTTGTGTTGAAATGGTAAAGTTAAGAGTTTTCTTATTTGCATTTGCTCTTATTTAAACTTTTTTTTTCTTTTTTGTAGATTTGCTTTGAGGTCACATTGATATGAAATATGGAGTCACCTTTCATAACTTCACCTGGGAAAGAGAAAGAAAACTTTCTTGTTAAAAAAACATAAGGAAAACAAACAACCAAAGGAATCATGCCAAATGCCAACTCTCCATCTTTTTGTATTATTAGCATTTTCTGTGCATCAGGACAAATGGCTTATGCATTGAAGGAGATGATTTGCTTATCAGTATTTTTAGCCATTAAAAAAAATCGTTTTCATATTAACCTTATACAGCTCCCATAAAATTTAACACATCTAAACATCTTTAAGGCCTTGTTTAAAACAGCTTTCTTTTTTAGTGCTTAGAACTTCTATATTTATGCACCGTATTGTTACTTGTCAAAGTCTTTAAGAGTTTATAACATCAGGAAAGATATGGACTTGGAAACTTCCATTATTAAAATAGACTGCAGTGGATTTAAGTGGACAATTCAAGACATCCATTTTATTGTCCAAAATATTACATAAAAGTGTATAGTTTTTAGCCTAAATGCAAACAAAGTTGCTTGAAAATGGCATGGGTAAAATTCTTACGGAAACCTGGTGGCAATCTTGGAAAAGTTTATCAGCCTGGAAGTATGCTATCCCTAGCCCCTACCAAAGGCTTGTTAAATGAACCAGGACAAAACAGCTGCTTTCTTAATAGTGCTGTACAGGTGAGACCATAATTACTTATTATATTTTAAAAAGTACATTTCAGAATATCCTTTGTTTAATGCTTCTTTAGCTCATACATTAAAAATAAAGTTACTATAGATTAGAATGACTTTTTAATATAACTTTTAATGGGAGCAAAAATGTTTTGGCTGGTTATTTTGGTTTTTATAATAAATGGAAATGTTTTTTTCAACAGACTGATGTATCACTGTGATATAAATAATCTTCTTGTTTAAAAGGTTTATTTAGTAAATTAAGGACATTTTTCTAACATACACAAACGTTTTTGTTTTAATCAGCTAACACCCCTCCCTTAAAAAAACATACAGTAGGGCGAGGTGGCAGGCGCCTGTAGTCCCAGCTACTCGGGAGGCTGAGGCAGGAGAATGGCGTGAACCCGGGAGGCGGAGCTTGCAGTGAGCTGAGATCCAGCCACTGCACTCCAGCCTGGGCGACAGAGCGAGACTCCCTCTCAAAAAAAAAAAAAAAAAATACAGTATATGGATCCCTGTAGATAGAATAAAAAGACTGCTTGGATTGAAATGAGAATGCAGAGTTTTTAATCTCAGTACTCAAACTCCCTTCACCTCCCACTGTGGTCCTTAAATTACCTCTGTGGAATCATCATTTGGGCAGCACTGTTTTGGTTAAATTGGAGGATAATCCATTTTGCTTCAATCCTTATTGAAAATCTTTTAATTAACCTGCTTTTCTGCCTTAGATAACTATACTTTCTTATGCATAATAAAGTTTTAATTCAGCAGTTTTAGATTTTATAGATCTTGTGTCCTGACCATTGTAGAGTACTAAAGATGAGGAAGATTTAGAATACTGATAAATTTTTCTATTGACCTTAGAATATACCTTAAAAGAATTCATATATAATGATTCACTTTTCATGTGTATTGTTTTTTCTTTTGAAAACTAATAGAGAAAAATCTTTGTTGATTAGCTCATTTGATGGATAAACGTGTGTAACGTGTGTCAAGTGTACAGACGTCTGACTCAGAGCTGTGTTCTCCGTTGCCTTCTACCTGAGACAGATGCCAAACTTGAATGTTCTCTAACTCACCCAGGAAAGAGAAGCAGCTGGTATTAAGAAAGCATTAATTTACTTTAGTTCACTTAAATGCTAGTGTTCTGCCCTGGCTCAAAGATCCCACTGACATTACTGTGACAAATGCAGAAAAATATTTATTCAGTGGCAATGGATATAGTGAAATATTAGATACCAAAAGACCTGGAATTAAATGCTTTTGATGGAATCAGGCTGTGAGAAAGGGTTTCTGCCTTTTCAGATACTTTTCTATTTACCCCTTTTCCTACCCTTTTTCCCTTTTATGTTTTCCCCTCTGTTTCTGTCCTTTTCATTAGCACCCAAAATACTATGTATAGTTCAGAGAAACAAAACGCATATTAGAACAGGTGAAAATTTTGAGTGAGGAAACTTACATGGATCAGAACATTGAGAAGTATTCCTATGATGATGTATTTTTTAAAAAATGAACGTTCTTCTGACATTTACCATGAAGACTGTTTACTTATACTATCTGCATAGTTGCCATTTCTGGTGCTCATCAGTTTTTTGCATAGATCCACATTCCATCTGATATCCTTTGCTTTTGCTTGAAGGTTCTTTCTTGTAATACAGGTTTATTGGTGATCAATTCTTTCAGCTTTTGTATGTCTGAAAAAGATCTGTATTTCACTTTTGTTTTTGAAAGATATTTTCACTCATTAAAGATGGTCCAAGTTGACATTTTTCTTTCAGTACTTTAAAGATTTTTGCTTCTCTGTGTTTTAGCTTGCATTATTCTAATGAAAAAATCTAATATTCTGATCTTTGTTTCTCTGTATGTTATTTGTTCTTTTTCTCTAGGTGCTTTTAAGATTTTTTCCTTATCATTGGCTTAAACCAATTTAATGATGTTTCCTGATATAGGTTTCTTCATATTTCTTGTGTTTGGGTTTGTTGAGCATCTTGGATCTGTGGGTTTTGGATTTAAATCAAATTTGGAAACACTTTGTTATTTCTTCAAATAATTTTTCTGACTCTTCCCTTCTTTGGGGTTTTCCAGTTACATATGCAGTGGGTTGCCTGAAGTTTTCCAGTTGTTTTACAGCTCACTGATGCTCTCTTTATTTTCTTTCTCAGTCTTTTTTTCTCTTTGTGTTTTATTTTGTGTGGTGTCTGTTACTCCATTTTCAAGTTCATTAATCTTTTCCTTTGTATTGCCTAACTGCTATTAATCCCATCCAGTGTATTTTTTGTCTTAGACATTGTAGTTTTCACTTTGAGAAGTTTGATCTTGGTCTTCTTAAAATCTCTTTCATGTCTCTACTTAGCATTTGCTAGTCTGTTAAACATGTGAAGTGTAGTTGTAATAATTGTTATTATGTACTTGTCTGCTAATTCTGTTATTTGTATAAATACTGGGTGTATTTCAATAACTTGTTTTTTTTTTTTTTCTTATCTTGTTTTTGTTTTCTTTTAATACTTGGTAATCTTTTGTTGGATGTCAGACAAGTTTTACCTTGTCAGGTTATGGATATTTTTATATTCCTAAAAATAATCTAGAACTTTGTTCTGAGACAGAGTTTATTTAGAAGCAGTTTGATCATTTTACTTTAAACTTTGTTAGGCAGGACAGAGCTGTGTTTACTCTTGGATTAAATTCTCTGCTATTGAGACTCTTCTTTTTCAACCATTGCTCTGTGAATTATGAAGTTTTCTCTTTGGCTGCAGGAATGGACACTATCTTGGGCCTGTGTGAGCTCTGGGCACTATTCCGTCTAATCTTTTTGGGTGTTTCTTTCCCAGGCCTCAGACAGTTTCCTTCATAGTACACCCCGAAATACTGGAGGGGGATCCTCTACTGATCCCTGATGTTAACTCTCTGTGCAGCTCTCTGCAGTACTCTGCCCTGTCAACTCTAGCAGCTTTGGGGGATCTGCTGGTCTCTATTGCCTGCCATATAAGCTAATTTACAAAGTCAATTCTCCCTGACAAAACAACTATTCAAATAGGTTTTCTATGAGATAAGACCTGACTTTCTTTTTGAAAATTCAGAATGCAAATGTTGATTTGCAATTTGATGAATACTTTTTAAAAAATGCTGAGAAATAAATTGTAGAATATGTCTTATAAGAATTTACTAAACATGACATTAAAATGTTTAGATCTGATATAAGACAGAAAAATGAATTTATATGCCATTTCATATTAATATTTAAGCTATTTCTTACATTATTTTCAAGTAAAGAATGTATGATGAAAGGTTTGTATTTAATGTATGTATAGATATGTGTTGATCTTTTGGGAATAATATAAGAAATATGTATAAATATTGAAAAATAACTACATTAATTTTGTTAGGCACCATTTAAATTGCTACATGCAAATAATGAAAAAGTGTATATTGCTAAAAACTAATTAGTTCAACAACTAGCTTAAACCTTAATTTTTTAAAAATAAGTGATAGAATATAATCAACATTTTAAAATGAAATGGGACCAGGAACATTGGCTCACACCTGTAATCCTAGCACTTTGGGAGGCCAAAGTGGGTGGATCACTTGAGGTCAGGAGTTTGAGACCAGCTTAGCCAACATGGTGAAACCCTGTCTCTACCAAAAACACAAAAATTAGCTGAGCGTAATGGCAGGCGCCTGTGGTTCCGGCTACTCACGAGGCTGAGGCAGGAGAATCGCTTGAACCCAGGAGGCTGAGGTTGCATTGAGCCAAGAGCACCATCACACTCCAGCCTGGGCAAGAAAGTGAGACTCCATCTAAAAAATAAATAAATAAAAAATAAAATGAAATGGATGAAGATCAACTATAATTAGGATAATTATTTTGTGATAGCCATTTGTTAAAATAGCCTTTACACTATTGTGTTAAAGACAGTAATGTACAGGGAACTTGAAATAAATCACATAAAACATTTTATCTGTAGTTTGATTCAGTGTAACTCAGAGTTTTTGTAATCAGAAAACATTCTAGTTACATTTGGAAGACTTCACTAACTTTATAAACAGATTATAGAGGATATTATATTTTAGCTGAATATTTTAAACTTTAATGCAAAAGCAGTACAATTAGGTCTAATATAACACATTAGTGTGATTTTAATGTCTGAGAAGCAAAGTTATAACATTTGATATTATAATACTGTTTAATAGCTCACATTTTTTGTATTCTTACTGCTTGTTTGAACATTACATATGTCACCTAATTTAATCCTTACAACATCCGTAAGAGGTAAGTACTACATTTATCTTTATTTTACTGATGAGAAAACTGAGTCCCAGAAGATATTTTGCCTGAGTCAGTCCAGAAATTGGTAAACAGTAAACCCAGAATTAGAAACCAGACACCTGCCTTCAGATGTGTTTTATTAACCTCAGTGGTATACTGTTTCTAAAGCTGTGCTATCATTAAATCATTTTCTTTGTTGGTAAAATGGATTCCATTGTATTTTTTAAAATATGCTAGGATGTGATACTCAAGAAAGTTTTTAAACATCATCAAGTGCTTTGCAAAAACACTGAGTTATCTGTGGTAGAAAAATTGATCCTATTCATTATGCTTTAATAAAAGGCAACGTTTAAGGAGAAATTCTAAAATGACATTTAGTTGTGGAGTAGTTGAAAATATAGGACATATTAAAACCAGTTTGTTTTTATTAACTTTTTGTTTTTATTTGGGAGAAAGGAGAGATCATGAATAGATTTTCTTAGTTAGGTTATTTGAGGACACGACTAAAAGAGAAATTTGAAGATATTATTTGTTTATTGTAGTAGTAGTATCAGTCACAAATAGCACAGGTACTCATTGCATGCCAGTTGAGTACCATACCCTGCTCTAGAAACATTACATATTATTTAATCCTTACAAGAACTTTATGAGACACAAGTACTATTCTTATCCTCATTGTATAGAATTCAAGTATTTCAGAATGATTTTAAGTACTGGACTGATTTGTTTTGACAGTTACAGTCTTTTTGGGTTTGCTTTATCTTTGTCTTTTAGTAGCAGAAGATAAGTGATAATTGCAGCAAGTATATACTTAGGTAATTTGTTAATGGCTGCTGCTTACTATGCTGTACACAGGTACCCCCTTTCTTGTTCCATGTACAGTGACTGCACACACCTCTGCTCACCCCTTTTTCTTGCCATAATGTGCAGACCCCTATTTAGTACACTCTGGCTTTAAAGTCTAATTATATTTCCTTTCAAAATTTCAGTTTGTTTCAAGTATTATAATCACTTCCTCTTTCATGTCTCTGCCAACTTTTCTGTTTGGTATTCCATGTTTCCTGTTCAGACCAAATCCTTAATGAGGAGTTGGTTTTTGCCTGCTCCATGCCTGTCATGGTTTTTCATGTGCACCAGTAACAGTGTCTTCTGAATCCAACTTTTATATATGCACAACATGCATGTAGCAATTGCTGTTATTTCCAGTGGTTATGTATGTGTGATTATGTACAGGCAATTAAAAGAAGTTACTTACTAGCTTTTTGCAATTTGTAAAATATCTAAATCTGTCTTTTGTTACAGTAAGAAAAATCTGTTTGTTTCTTTTTCCTCCACATCTTACTGTTTTTTAGGTCTTATGGCAATTGGATATATTCCGACGAAGCTTGCGGGTTTTGACTGGACATGTTTGTCAGGGAGATGCCTGTATATTTTGTGCATTGAAGGTAACCTTTTAATAGCTCTGAAAAATTACTATCAATTGTTCCTTCAAAAATTTAAGTTTGATAATTGATATATTGGGTCAGTTTGTTGTAACTAAAGTTCACTGTCAGGTGATTAATAGTTTTGAAGATGAATTCTTCACAGTGTGACTTATTCAGGTTTGTGTTTTCATTTTCCTCTTTTATGTAAGGACAGTTAAAAATTAATATTCTAAGTAGAAAATTGTTAGGAACATTATCTTTTTCATTATTTTGCAGTTATTCTTACTCATTTTAACAAATGTTTTTGGAGCTACTACTGAGTTCTGGGTACCAGTGTAGTTACTGAGGATACAGCAGTGAACAAAACTGATAAAAATTGCTGTTCTCATAGAGCTTGTATTCTTATAGAGGAGGAGACAATAATAAGAAAGCAAAATATTGTAAGTATGTTAGATAGTAACAGTTGTAACAGTGGAAAAATACATTAGGGAAAGAAAATGGGGAGTGTTGTGTAGCCAGGAAAGCCTCACTGAGAAACTGATATTTGAATCGAGACCTTGAAGAGCCCTCCAGGTAGACAAAGAAACAGCAACTGCAAAGGCCTTGAGGTATGAGTATACCTGACATATTTAAGGAACACCAAGGAAACGTGGGTGGCAGGAGCTTTATGAGCAAGGAAGAGAGTGGTAGAATATGAGCTCCGAAGTGAGGGTGGCCGAGGTGGCTTTAAAACATGTCTGCAGTTTGTTTTGCATGCTTCCTTATCCAAAATCTAATTCCTTGAATATAGACTGGCCTTAATGACTGATATCTGTCGAATAGACTATGGCAGAACTGAGGCTGCAATCCAGATATCTGAGGTTGGGTTAGTTTAGAAAAGGTGATATAGCTATCACCCAGCTCTGTTTCTTGAGTTGCTCATTCTTGGAAGTGAGCCACCATGATGAGGAGGCCAGGTGGCCTTGAGGAAAGACCACTTGGAGGCATTCTGGACACAGCTAGAGCTGAGTTCCCAGCCCACAGCCAGCATCAACTGCCAGACATGAAAGAGTGACCTTCACATATTCCAGGTCCCGTCATTCAAACTGTCCAAAATGACTTCAAATGAAGCAGAGACGTGCTGTCCCCACCCAAATTGCAGATTTGCGTAACTACATTTTAGGGGTGGTTTAGTTACAGGGCAATACATAACTAGAACAGGGGTTTAGATTGTGTAGGGCCTTATAGACCTCTGTAAGGATCGTGGCTTTTTCTATGAGTGATTTAGGGAGATGGGGGATTGTTTTGAGTGGAAGAGTGATACAGTCTGTTTTAACCAGATATAATATTTGAACTAGATCCCTGTGGCTGCTCTGCTGAGGAAAATAGAAGGAAGACAAACAGAGTGTCCAGTATATATTAGCAACTCATTTGTGTCACTGAAATCTTTTGCCAGAGAACTTAAGATTTTGTTATACATTTTAGAGATAAATGTTTCATTTTTTACATTCTTGAATATTTGAACACACACACATAGACATACAGACATTTTTTTAAAAATTTATGTGCCTTAATTTCATTATGTTCCTGAAAAGATTGTTTGAGTAAATCACCAAAGGAAGACATTTTATATTCTCTTTTTTTAAGAACATGGCAAAATAGGGTTATTGTTAGGAAATGAAGAATGAGCCTAGATCACATTACAGTATCACATTTTATTTATTCCACAGTAAATTTTGAATGTTTTGTCTAATTGTAAAACCTAGGATTATTAATTTCCTAGACCAACTCTCTGTAGCCCTGCACAGTTACCTGCCTCTTTCCTGTGCTTGCCTTCCTCTCCTCCCCAGTCAAAAACACACATAAATACATTGCATTTTAGCCAAACTGGGCTCTATTTCTCAGAGCTGGTCTCCACCTCAAAGTCTCCTCATTGTTATTCCTTTTGTCTGGAATGCTTTTCTTCCAAATGTCCTCTTGGCTAACACCCTTATTTCCTTTATGCCTCTCCTCAAATGTTACTTTTCCATCAGTGAGGCCTTCCCCGACTACACTAGGTAAAAGGTAAGCTGCCTCCATCTATAATATCCCTGGCATTCCTATCCCCATTACACTGCTTTATTTTTCTCTCTTGTATCTCTTTATTTTTCTCTACTGTAGTTATCACATTCTGATGTTACATAATTACTTCTTTGCCTTCTCATTGCTATCACTACTAGAATATAATCTCCATGTAGGTAGGGTTGTCATCCATTTTTCTAGTGTAGAACAATGCCTAACATATACTAGGGAGCCAAAAAATATATGTTGAATGAATGAGTAATCTTAAACATTACCTGGAAGTTAATTGCCTAAATAAGAGATAAAATCTGAAAGTTATTTTTCATCTTTTACTATTCATAATTTTAGCTATTTAATGGCTAAAATAATTATAGTTCTGGGTATCTAATATCAGTTGACATCTGTATTTTCTAATATTTTATTTATAAATTATATTTTTTTGCAGTAGTGAAACAGATTAATGAAATGTTTTCCTTGTATGTTGATCTTAAAAATATTTTTTTTTGAGATGACATGATCCCTTGAGCTAACATGGGACTGAATGTGACCAATACTACTTTGGTGGACTGTCATTGAAAAGTTTTCTTTTTTCCTTACTTTCTTCCATGTAAGATGATTGTCATAAAATTGTAATTTATGTTTTTTTCTTGCTTAAGTTTAATAAGGAAAATTGAAAATCAGATTAACAACTATGATTTCATGTTTCCAGTTTCTCGGGTTTAGATTAGAAACTGAATGATGTTTCCAGTTTCTTAATTTAGATTAGAAATACAAGTTGGGTATCCCTTGTCTGAAATGCACAGGACCAGCAGTGTTTTGGATTTTAGATTTTGTTTTTTGATTTTGGAATATTTGCATTTATGTATTTACTGGTTGAGCATACCAAATTTAAAAGCATTTCCTTTAAGCATTGTGTCAGTGCTCAAAAACTTTTAGATTTTGGAACTTTCACATTTTTGATTTGGAGAAATTCAACCTATAATTCTCTAAGTTAGGAAAACTGATAAATTAGGGGTGGTAGGACCTTTTCTTAAAAGTTAAAAGTCATTATTATCTCTTTTCTGAATCTTGTAAAATGGACGTTTGCATTTTTTAAAGGCAAATTTAGTCAAATAATAGTGGAACATTGTCATTCCATTAAATCATCTAATTTTTAAATCAGGATTTGTCATTTTCTGAGGTATTCTTAAGACTCTAGTAGAAAATTTTTTTAAGTTTTAAAAGTTTGTTTAGGTTACTTTTTTCTTTTAAGACTAGTGAATTCTACCAATTTTTGTGTGATTATATGTTTATTTTGTTTAGCGTAGTTCTAATTCCTATTGTATATTTTTAGATTTAAAGCAACTTAAATCTCAAAATTCTGTTCCTTAAACAACCTGCATCAGAATCATTTGGGGAATAGTTTAAAAATGAGCCTCACCTAAGACTTAGTCAAAGTCTGAGGGTGGGACCTGGGAACCCTACATGTTTAATTCTTGTGTCCACTAACATTTGATTTAGAGGCTGGTGCAAACATTTTTACACTTGATGATACAAATAATTAATTTTTGTATGAAATTTTAGAGGAAAAGACTTATGTGTTATTTTCCAAGTATAGTGTTTTGAGTTTCTCTGTGTTGTAATGAAATTACTGAAACGATTTTAAAGCTGGCATTAAACTTACTGATTTTCTTGTTGATTCCCAGACGATATTTGCACAGTTCCAACATAGTCGAGAAAAAGCACTTCCCTCAGATAACATAAGGCATGCTCTTGCAGAAAGCTTCAAAGATGAGCAGCGATTTCAACTTGGCCTTATGGATGATGCTGCAGAGTGCTTTGTAAGTATTTCTGATATTCCTTAAGAAGTCAGGATAGTAGTTTTCATTCCTTAGATGGTACAAATGTTGAGACAAATGAAACAAAAATTTAGAACAATAGAGAAATGTCAGAACTGGCTGGTAGATCCATATCTTACCCATCCTTCAAGCCTCAACTTCAATCCATCTGTGTTTTGTGTTGTACTTTTGGTTTTGATTATTTGTGTTGCTCTAATTTTTACTCTTAGGCTACTAAAATATTTTAAAACTTAGTTGGAGCAATAAACTTTGCTGAATATAAATGATATCACTTAAATCAGTGTTCTGCCACTATAGGGTTCACATGTACAGCACATTCCTACCAGTAATAGTTTTCATTGCATGCAATGATTCTCTTTGGGAGATAAGGGGATTTTGGTGGGAAGTTAACAGGGGCAACAGCCTGTTACCCATATTCCAGGTTGAGAATCACTGAGGTTGATGTTCTTAGGCTCTGTGTTACCACCATATTAGAAAGTAGAGCATTCCTTTAATCAGGTACATACTTTATACATGTAAAATAGGTATGTTAATTATTAAATGTCTCGGTTAATATTGATGTCACCTATAAATGAGTTGTAACCATTTCTTCTCTCTTCTTCCTGTTTCTAGTCAGCAAATTCTGTAAATTCTTTCATCAGAAACCCTTTCAAAAGTTTTTTCTTTCCATATTAATTCCCTACCACAACTTCTTCCAGGTCACCATATTTAAGCCTCCTACTGGTATCCATTCAGCCTGTTTCTTTATGTCCTATTTTTTAAATAGCCACCATATTAATATGATTTTCTTCAGGTTAATGCTTACTCTTCAAATATTTCTATGATTCAAATCTAGACTTTTTATTCTGATATTTAAGGCCCGTTAGGATTAAACTCCGACCTTCCCTCAGTGCTTCATTGCTGGATTTTTCTTCCTAGTGAGATTATTCCATTCTGTTCCTCACATATATTTTTATATTCCTGTTTATACTCCTTATTTATAAGGCTGTTGTACTAGCAGCCTTTGCTCAAGTTCCTGAAATACTCAGAACTTTAAAAATCTATCATTTTGTGAAGGTTCAAACTAAGTCTATGCCTACTAGACAGCACATGACCAAAGCACCCAATCCATTCCCTGTAAAATTTACTGTCTGTAGAGTTCATTTGGTGTGTGTATATTATTAATCGCCTTTTTAAAAATGAGCATATTCATGGTTTCCTTAGATGGAAAGCTCATGACTAGCATCTTGCATAGCACACTTGCATGTTGATTAAAATGTCAATAACAGCACACACAGTAATGAAATATATCCATATTTCTTCTGTTTGTAATTGATTCTTTGCTTAAAACAGATGTATTTTGAATAATGCTAAACTTTATAGTTTTACTTTCACCTAAATGAATTATTCTAATACATGGTATGATAATTCACAAAATGTCTAGAAATCTAGGCTTAAATTATTAAATGGTCTTAAATATCCTGGAGCAGAGGAGAGGGAAGTTAGCTAATGAATAGAATCCATTGGTTAAGCTTTGGTAAAAAGAATTCTGTTAAATAAATACCCCTTATTGATCTATATTGTAAATCAACATTTATATGAAATTTATGGCAGATTGCATTGCTTTCATTATGGTGTTAGTGTAGATATAAAGCCTTTGTTTTGCTGTTACTTATACAGACTATCTAGGTGATTCAAGTAGGATTTTTTTAAATCATACTTTAAATTCTGGGTTACATGTGCAGAGCGTGCAGTTTTGTTACATAGGTATACACGTGCCGTGATGGTTTGCTGCACCCATCAACCTGTCACCTACATTAGGTATTTTTCCTAATGTTATCCCTCCCCAGCCCGCCACCCCTGACAGGCCCCAGTGTGTGATGTTCCCCTCCCTGTGTCCATGTGTTCTCATTGTTCAACTCCCACCTCCAAGTGAGAACATGTGGTGTTTGATTTTCTAATCTTGTGATAGTTTGCTGAGAATGATGGTTTCCAGCTTCATTCATGTCACTGCAAAGGACATGAACTCATCCTTCTTTTGTGGCTGCATAGTATTCCATGGTGTACATGTGCCACATTTTCTTAATCCAGTCTATCGTTGATGAACATTTGGGTTGGTTCCAAGTCTTTGCTATTGTGAATAGTGCCACAATAAACATACCTGTGTATGTGTCTTTATCCTACAATGATTTGTAATCCTTTGGGTATATACCCAGTAATGGAGTTGCTGGGTCAAATGGTATTTCTAGTTCTAGATCCTGGAGGAATTGCCACACTGTCTTCCACAATGGTTAAACTATTACGCTCCAACCAACAGTGTAAAAGTGTTCCTACTTTTCGACAACCTCTCCAGCATCTGTTGTTTCCTGACTTTTTAATGATCGTCATTCTAAGTGGTGTGAGATGGTATCTCATTGTGGTTTTGATTTGTATTTCTCTAATGACCCGTGATGATGAGCATTTTTTCATATGTCTGTTGGCTGCATAAATGCCTTCTTTTGAGAAGTGTCTGTTCATATCCTCTGGCCATTTTTTGATGGGGTTCGTTGTTTCTTTTGTTTTGTTTTGTTTTGTTTTGAGACAGAGTCTCTCTCTGTCGCCCAGGCTGGAGTGCAGTGGCACGATCTTGGCTCACTGCAAGCTCCGCCTCCCAGGTTCACACCATTCTCCTGCCTCAGCCTCCCAAGTAGCTGGGACTACAGGTGCCCGCCACCACGCCCGGCTAATTTTTTGTATTTTAGTAGAGATGGGGTTTCACTGTGTTAGCCAGGACGGTCTCCATCTCCTGACCTCGTGGTCCACCTACCTTGGCCTCCCAAAGTGCTGGGATTACAGGCGTGAGCCACTGCACCCGGCTGGGTTGGTTGCTTTTTTTCGTGTAAATTTGTTTAAGTTCTTTGTAGATTCAGGATATTAGCCCTTTGTTAGATGGATAGATTGCAAAAATTTTCTCCCATTCTGTAGGTTGCCTGTTCACTCTAATGATGGTTTCTTTTGCTGTGTAGAAGCTCTTTAGTTTAAATAGATCCCATTTGTCAATTTTGGCTTTTGTTGCCACTGCTTTTGGTGTTTTAAACATGAAGTCTTTGCACATGCCTATGTCCTGAATGGTATTGCCTAGGTTTTCTTCAGGATTTTTATGGTCCTAGGTCTTACGTTTAAGTCTTTGATCCATTGGGTTGATTTTTGTATAAGGTGTAAGGAAGGGTCCAGTGTCAGTTTTCTGCATATGGCTAGCCGGTTTTCCCAAAACAGTTTATTAAATAGTGAATCTTTTCCCCATTGCTTGTGTATGTCAGGTTTGTCAAAGATAAGATGGTGGTAGATGTGTGGTGTTATTTCTGAGACCTCCGTTCTGTTCCACTGGTCTATATATATGTTTGGTACCAGTACCATGCTGTTTTGGTTACCGTTGCCTTGTAGGAAAGTTTGAAGTCGGGTAGCGTGATGCCTCCAGCTTTGTTCTTCTTGCCCAGGGTTGTCTTGGCCACGCGGGCTCTTTTTTGCTTCCATATAAACTTTAAAAAAGTAGTTTCCAATTTTGTGAAGTGGTAGCTTGATGGGGATAGCATTGAATCTATAAATTACTTTTGGCAGTATGGCCATTTTCACGATGTTGATTCTTCCTATCCATGAGCATGGAATGTTCTTCCATTTGTTTGTGTCCTCTTTTATTTCATTGAGCAGTGGTTTGTAGTTCTCCTTGAAGAGGTCCTTCGCATCCCTTGTAAGTTGGATTCCTAGGTATTTTATTCTCTTTGTAGCAATTGTGAATGGGAGTTCACTCATGATTTGGCTCTCTGTTTGTCTATTATTGGTGTAAAGGAATGCTCGTGATTTTTGCACATTGATTTTGTATCCTGAGACTTTGCTAAAGTTGCTTATCAGCTTAAGGAGATTTTTGGCTGAGACAATGGAGTTTTCTAAATATATAGTCATGTCATCTGCAAACAGACAATTTGACTTCCTGTCTTCCTATCTGAATACTCTTTATCGCTTTCTTTTGCCTGATTGCCCTGGCCAGAACTTCCAATACTATGTTGAGTAGGAGTGGTGAGAGAGGGCATCCTTGTCTTGTGCCGGTTTTCAAAGGGAATGCTTCCAGTTTTTGCCCATTCAATATGATATTGGCTGTGGGTTCGTCATAAATCGCTCTTATTATGTTGAGATACGTTCCATTGATACCTAGTTTATTCAGAGTTTTTAGCATGAAAGACTGTTGAATTTTGTTGAAGGCCTTTTCTGTATTGAAATAATCATGTGGTTTTGTCATTGGTTCTGTTTATGTGATGGATTATGTTTATTGATTTGCGTATGTTGAACCAGCCTTGCATCCCAGGGATGAAGCCAACTTGATCGCTTTTTGATGTGCTGCTGGATTCACTTTGCCAGTATTTTGTTAAGGATTTTCACTTTAATGTTCATCAGGGATATTGGCCTAAAATTCCTTTTTTTGTTGTGTCTCTGCCAGGCTTTGGTATCAGGATGATGCTGGCCTCATAAAATGAGTTAGCGAGGATTTCCTCTTTTTCTGTTGATTGGAATAGTTTCAGAAGGAATGGTACCAGCTCCTCTTTGTACCTCCGTCTGGTCCTGGACTTTTTTTGGTTGATAGGCTATTAATTATTGCTTTAATTTCAGAACCTGTTGTTGGTCTATTTGGAGATTCAACTTCTTTCTGGTTTTGTCTTGGGAGAGTGTATGTGTCCAGAAATTCATCCATTTCTTCTAGATTTTCTAGTTTATTTGTGTAGAGGTGTTTATAGTATTCTGTGATGGTAGTTTGTATTTCTGTGGGGTCGGTGGTGATATCCCCTTTCTCATTTTTTATTGCATTTATTTGATTCTTCTGTCTTTTCTTCTTTATTAGTCTTGCTAGTGGTCTATTTTGTTGATCTTTTCAAAAAACCAGCTCCTGGATTCACTGACTTTTTTGAAAGGCTTTTTGTGTCTCTTTCTCCTTCAGTTCTGCTCTGAACCTACTTATTTCTTGTCTTCTGCTAGTTTTTTAATTTATTTGCTCTTGCTTCTCTTGTTCCTTTAATTATGATGTTAGGGTGTTGATTTCAGATATCTCCTGCTTTCTCTTGTGGGCATTTAGTGCTATAAATTTCCCTCCACACACTGCCTTAAATGTGTCCCAGAGTTTCGGGTACGTTGTGTCTTTGTTCTCATTGGTTTTAAAGAACAGCTTTATTTCTGCCTTCATGTCGTTATTTACTTAGTAGTCTTTCCTGAGCAGGTTGCTCATTTTCCATCTAGTTGTGCGGATTTGAATGAGATTCTTAATCCTAAGTTCTAATTTGGTTGCACTGTGGTCTGAGAGACAGTTTGTTGTGATTTCTGTTCTTTTACATTTGCTCGGGAGTGTTTTACTTCCAATTATGTGGTCAATTTTAGAATAAGTGCTATGTGGTGCTGAGAACAATATATATTCTGTTTATTTTTTGTGTAGAGTTCTGTAGATGTCTATTAGGTCCGCTTGGTCTAGAGTTGAGTTCAAGTCCTGGATATCCTTGTTAATTTTCTGTCTTGTTGATCTGTCTAATATTGACAGTGGGCTGTTAAAGTCTCCCATTATTATTGTGTGTGAGTCTAAGTGTCTTTGTAGGTCTCTAAGTACTTGCTTTATGAATCCGGGTGCTCCTGTATTGGGTGCATGTATATTTAGGATAGTTAGCTCTTATTATTGAATTGATCCCTTTACCATTATATAATGGCCTTCTTTGTCTCTTTTGATCTTTGTTGGTTTAAAGCCTGTTTTATCAGAGGCCAAGATTGCAACCCCTGCTTTTTTTTTTTTTGCTTTCCATTTGCTTGGTAGATCTTCCTCCATCCCTTTATTTGGAGCCTATGTGTGTCTCTGCACATGAGATGGGTCTCCTGAATACAGCACACTGATGGGTCTTGACTCTTTATCCAATTTGCCAGTCTATGTCTTTTAACTGGGGCATTTAGCCCATTTGCATTTAAGGTTAATATTGTTATGTGTGAATTTGATCCTATCATTATGATATTAGCTGGTTATTTTGCCCGTTAATTGATGCAGTTTTTTCATAGCGTCGATGGGTTTTCAATTTGGCATGTTTTTGCAGTGGCTGGTACCCGTCGTTCCTATCCATGTTTAGCGCTTCCTTCAGGAGCTCTTGTAAGGCAGGCCTGGTGGTGACAGATTCAGCATTTGCTTGTCTGTAAAGGATTTTATTTCTCCTTTACTTATGAAGCTTAGTTTGGCGGATATGAAATTCTGGATTGAAAATTGTTTTCTTTAAAAATGTTGAATATTGGCCCCCACTCTCATCTGGCTTGTAGAGTTTCTGCAGAGAGATCCACCGTTAGTCTGATTGGCTTCCCTTTGTGGGTAACCTGACCTTTCTCTCTGGCTGCCTTTAACATTTTTTCCTTCATTTCAACCTTGGTGAATCTGATAGTTATGTGTCTTTGGGTTGCTCTTCTCGACGAGTATCTTTGTGGTATTCTCTGTATTTCCTGAATTTGAATGTTGGCCTGCCTTATTAGGTTGGGGAAGTTATCCTGGACAATATCCTGAATACTGTTTTCTAACTTGTTTCCATTCTCCCCATCACTTTCAGGTACACCAATCAAACTTAGATTTGGTCTTTTCACATAGTCCCATATTTCTTGGAGGCTTTGTTAGGTTCTTTTCACTCTTTTTTCTCTAATCTTGTCTTCTGACTTTATTTCATTAATTTGATCTTCAGTCACTGATAGCCTTTCTTCTGCTTGATCGAATTGGCTACTGAAGTTTGTATGCTTCACGAGGTTCTCTTACTGTGTTTTTAAGCTCCATCAGGTCATATAAGCTCTTCTCTTCATGGGTTATTCTAGTTAGCCATTCGTCTAACCTTTTTTCAAGGTTTTTAGCTTCCTTGCACTGGGTTAGAACATGCTCCTTTAGCTCGGAGAAGTTTGTTATTACTGACCTTCTGAAGCCTACTTCTGTCAACTCTTCAAACTCATTCTCCAGCCAGTTTTGTTACCTTGCAGGCGAGGGGTTGTATTCCTTGGAGGAGAAGACGCCTTCTGGTTTTTGGAATATTCAGCCTTTCTACTCTGGTTTCTCCCCATCTTTGTGGTTTTATCTACCTTTGGTCTTTGATGTTGGTAACCTATGCGTGGTGTTTTGGTGTGGATGTCCTTTTTGTTGATGTTGATGCTATTCCTTTCTGTTTGTTTGTTTTCATTCTAACAGACAGGCCCCTCAGCTGCTGTCTCTTGGGGTTTGCTGGAGGTCCACTCCAGACCCTGTTTGCCTGGTTATCACTAGCGAAGGCTGCACAACAGCAAATATTGCTGCCTGATTCTTTCTCTAGAAGCTTTGTCCCAAGGGACACCCACCTGTATGAGGTGTCTGTCGGCCTTTAGTGGGAGGTGTCTCCCAGTCAGGCTACTCGGGGGTCAGGAACCCACTTGAGGAGGCAGTCTGTTCGTTATTAGAGCTTGAACGCCGTGCTGGGAGAATCACTCCTCTCTTCAGAGCTGTCAGACAGGGACATTTAGGTCTGAAGAAGCTGTCTGCTGTCTTGTTCAGATATGCCCTGCCCCCAGAAGTGGAATCTAGGGTGGCAGTAGGCCTTGGTGAGCTGCGGTGGGCCCCACCCAGTTCAAGCTTCCCTGTGGCTCTGTTTACACTGTGAGCAGAAAACCACCTACTCAGGCCCCAGCAATGGCAGACACCCCTCCCCCCACCAATCTCCTGCATCCCAGGTTGATCTCAGACTGCTGCACTAGCAGTGAGCAAGGCTCCGTTGGTGTCGGACCCGCTGAGCCAGGCACTGGAGGGGAACTCCTGGTCTGCTGGTTGCTAAGACCATGGGAAAAGCTCAGTATTTCGGCAGGAGTGTACTGCTCCTCCAGGTACCTTCACTAATGGCTTCCCTTGGCTAGGAAAGGGAAATCCCCTGACCCCTTGCGCTTCCCGGGTGAGGTGATGTCCTACCCTGCTTTAGCTCGCCCTCTGTGGGTTGCACTCACTGTCCAACCAGTCCCAATGAAATGAACCAAGTACCTCAGTTGGAAATGCAGAAATTACCTGTCTTCTGTGTCGATCTCGCTGGGAGCTGTAGACTGGAGCTCTTCCTATTCAGCCATCCAGGATTTTTTTTAAGCTATCTGTTTTTTTCTTCATTTGAGAATGTCGGGAACACAGGAAACTGTTTTCTAATATTAAATTCTAGATGTCAGTCACCAGGGGTGTTTAGAAGGATTAAAAATAACTTTATTAAAAAGATCATGTTATATTATAATGTTGCTTTCATTAAGCAACATTTTCTTTTAGCTAGTGCTATAAAAGGTGAATAATTGAACATTCGATCAAAGCGTTCATTAGAGAGGAAAGCTGAAAAGCTAACAATATGTATGACACTCTTAAATTTACACTTTGGGAAATCTCCAGGTAAAGAGTTACATTTTGCCGTGTTCCCTGCAAGATCAGCAACTCATTTATCTATTTTATTTTTAAATTAGGAGAATATATTGGAGAGGATTCATTTTCACATAGTGCCAAGCAGAGATGCAGACATGTGTACCTCTAAATCTTGTATCACTCACCAGAAGTTTGCTATGACTCTGTATGAACAGGTGAGATGGCTTGATTATTATTTAGATATTATAGTTCTGTTTTATGATTGATAGATTAAGCATATGTTTTTGCCTATGTAGTGTGTGTGTCGTAGCTGTGGAGCATCATCAGATCCTCTACCTTTTACAGAATTTGTGCGGTACATTTCTACAACAGCCTTATGGTAAGAACCTATTAAAACATAATTATCAAAAACGTTAATACCATATTTAAGCACATTGAACACTTACTTTATAAAATCGTAGCATACATGAATTTCCCCTCTCTGTCTGAGGCTACCAGATATGCTGCTGTGAGATGTATTAAGTGATGTCTATCAAAGTTGGATGTTTGTAATTTAGCCTAATATGTGTGTTACTTAGTGAAGTGTACATAATACTAGTTAAATTTTATGTCTATTTAATTTATAACAAATTTTAGAACTGTGAAGGGGGAGCATAAAATGATAAACTGAATGTTAAATGGAACTATATATGGTTGCTTCATTTATGAGATGTTCTGTTTGTAATGGCCATATTTTCAGTCAGCTCTGCTATGTCCCTTTCTGGTGATAAAAGCTAGGGTAAACAGAGAAGAAACAAAAATGTGAGCATAATTTTCAGTTAGGTTATTGCATTTGAGGCCTCAACATTCACTTTAAATAAAAAATTTGCCATGCTTGCCTGCTCACCTGCCCACTCACTCTCTCCCTTTCTGTCCATGAAAGATTAGCTAGTTAAGGATCCAAAACTTAACCCTAGACCTTATATAATGTTCTTTGACTATTTTCCAACAGATATTTGAAAGTATACATATTTGGCATGTGGCCAGGTGCAGTGGCTAACGCCTGTAATCCCAGAACATTGGGAGGCTAAGGCTGGTGGATCACCTGAGGTCAGGAGTTCAAGACCAGCCTGGCCAAGATGGTGAAACCCCATCTCTACTAAAATAAAAAATTAGCTAGGTGTGGTCTCGGGCGCCTGTAATCCTAGCTCCTTGGGAGGCTGAGGCAGCTAACTGCTTGATCCCGGGAAGTGGAGGTTGCAGTGAGCTGAGTTAATGCCACTGCACTCTAGCCTGGGTGACAGAGCGAGATTACGTCTCACCAAAAAAAAAAAAAAAGAAAAAAAAAATGTGGCATGTGGTAAACATTGAGTAAGATCATAAACATTTGCATACATTTTAATACAAAAGACATAATATGGATCAGTAATTATCAGTCAGAGTATGTTAGTGCAACAGTTGATAAATGTTGCCAATATTTGTGTCAGTGTGCAAAGTGAATATCATGTTCATCCATTTCATATGATTTATCTTCCTGGCTTTATTGGGTATAAAACCTTATTTTATAAAGATTATTGAGTAATAACAATTTTGTTATTTGGATGTGTTTACTATCTTTCTTATATTTACAGACAAGTAAAAAACACTGATTTAGAGAAACATTCCTAGACTTCAGTCAAATTGTAGTCAGTTGTCAGTCATTTTTTAAAATTTCTATGAAAAGTAGAATGGTGTTTGAACAAAGATAGACAATAAGTTAAAAACTAAAATTTTAATTCTGCTTTAAAACTCTTGAATGAAATGACAGTGTTCTCAGGCAGAATGTTAGATAATAAGAATTAGAGCCCATCATTCTCTGCTTGGTAAACACTGCAAGTTGCAGGAGTGTGCGCTTTGAATTCTAACTATAATACCCTTATATGTGTTGGTAATCAGTGTTGAATACCAGTTACTGAATGCTTACCATGTTCCAGGATTTATGTAAGTTGTCACTTTTAATCTTAACGAAAATTCTATTTTGTTGATGAAGAAATAGGTTTAATGAGGTTAATCTAGTAAGTAGATGAATTAAGATTGAAACCCAGATCTGTCTGACTTCAACATTTTTCTGGATGTTGTCTAATGCTGTCAGTTTTGTAAGAGCAGTATATGCAGTTTGAATGAGCTTATCAGATTTAGGGCCTTCTAGTGTACTCGTGAAGTGTTTTGGATGGGTACATTTAGTTGTTACCAAATACTTGGAGATTATTTAAACTTGAACTGTAAAATATATCCAGCTCTAGAATAGTTATATTATTGTTAAGTACAACCAGAACATCTAGAATGGAAACTAGTTAGTGTTTCAGCTTACATGACATTCCTTTTCGGAAATATTTAGATAGTATTAGCCTGTTCTCATGCTGCTAATAAAGACATACTCAAGACTGGGTAATTTATAAAGCAAAGAGGTTTAATTGACTCATAGTTCCATGTGGCTGAGTAGGCCTCACAATCATGGCAGAAGGCAAGGAGGAGCAAAGTCACGTCTTACATGGTGGCAGGCAAGAGAAAAGAATGAGAGCCAAGCGAAAGGGGTTTCCCCTTATGAAACCATCAGATCTTGTGAGACTTATTCACCACCACCAGAACAGTATGGGGGAAACTGCCCCCATGATTCAGTTGTTTCCAGCTGGGTCCCTCCCACAACATGAAGGAATTTTGGGAGCTACAATTCAAGATGAGATTTGGGTGGGGACACAGCCAAACCATATTAGTTACTTAATACCCTGATACATAAAAATATGTCTTTTAAGGAGGTTGAATAAAAAGTATCACAGTTAACCTGTAGTGCATTAAAGGGCCTGCCTGGGCTCTAATAAAATGATTAGTATCCTGGCTGGCCCCGTAACTCACTCCTGTAATCCCAACACTTTGGGAGTCTGAGGCAGGTGGATCACCTGAGGTCAGGAGTTCAAGACCAGCCTGGGGAACATGGTGAAACCCCGTCTCTACTAGAAATACAAAAATTAGCCAGTTGTGGTGGCACGTGCCTGTAATCCCAGCTCCTTGAGTGGCTGAGGCACAAGAATTGCTTGAACCTGGGAGGTGTAGTTTGAAGTGAGCCAAGATTGTGCCATTGCACTCTAGCCTGGGTGATAGAGCAAGACTCCATCACACACACACACACACACACACACACACACACAAAAACAACAACAGGAGTAATATTCATAATAAAAACAAAAGGCGTTAAATCTGGCTTTAATAACTTTGGTTGAGACTTCTGCATTTAATCAGCAAAGGACCTTCTAGCCGAAATTGATAACTTTGCTTTTAGGAACTTTGGGCCAGAGAGGGAGCCTTTCCTATAGTTTATTGTTCCTGTTAGGGTAGGGTTTAAACTTAAGTTTCTACTCATTAATTAATAATACAAGTGAAACATTTGCCTTAGAACTACCTGTAGACAGAGGATCTTAGCCTCATTCGTCTAGTTCCAAACATAAAATTTTGTGTTATTTTGTTCTCTTTATTTGAGCTAATTTTTTCATCATATACTTGGCAAATTTAATAATTTTTCATTTTATGGAAATGTACTTTATGGTTCATTTTTCAGCTATGGTCATGTTTTAGACAGAAAAAGTGATGCACATCTAAACTGACAATATTTTTCATGTGCAATTTATTAAAATTTTAAGTTCATAGGCCCAATTTGGGATTGCTTCTTTTTTTGTAGCAATGAAGTTGAAAGAATGTTGGAAAGGCATGAACGCTTTAAACCTGAAATGTTTGCAGAACTGCTACAAGCAGCAAACACAACAGATGACTATAGGAAATGTCCTGTAAGTATAGTTTGGAGAATGTTAGTATGCTTCTTGTTCTGTAAATTTGAAAATAGGCATTCAGATATTATCATGTAAATACTGATTCTATATATAGAATTAGCTTTAAGAATTTTTAAAAAATATCATTTTAGATTATACCATGTGTACCATTTATCTTAGCATAATTTCTTTAAAAACTCCTAAGTTTGTGAAGGTTTAAAGGTAGCATATGTTGATTAAATTTTTTCAAAGTCCTGAAATTTATCATTTGATTAAAGAGAAAGTTTCTTTTCAGTAAACTTGAATGATACTCTTTTCTCATCTAATGTATTTGTTACTGACTTCAATGATTTTATTTCTGCTTTTTTTTTAGGTTGAATTCTTTAACAGATTTACAAAAATATCAAAGAATACTTTTATTTAAAATAGACTTCTTGTTTAATCAATAATTAAGACAAATCACTTGTTAGAAGTCATTTTTTAGTATACTGAATAAATTGCAAATATATGTTAAAAATGTCATTATATAATACAAACTGTGTAAGGTTTTGCCTATGGTTTATCTGTTTTCATAATTTTAGAACTTTTCTTTTGTGTTTTTCTGTAGAGTAACTGTGGCCAAAAAATAAAAATTCGCCGTGTTTTAATGAATTGCCCAGAGATTGTTACAATTGGTTTAGTCTGGGACTCTGAGCATTCTGACTTGACCGAAGATATTGTTCGGAATCTAGCAACACATCTTTATCTTCCTGGGGTATCTTATCTATTTTCATTCCTTTCCCTTTTATTTTCAAATTCTTCTAAAACATCTTGATATATATTATGATACACTTATTTTGATTTCAGAACTAAATTTTTTTTCTGAACAAAATAATACTATTTCGATGTTTTATCTGATAAAGTCAAGTTTAATCAAACCAGGCTAACTGGAATGCCTTTACTACATAGACTAGTAATGGCTTTTAATTACAAACTAAACTCTCTCATGACTTTTGCTGCTTTCACTCTAAAATAATGATGATTGATGATTTTTTATCTATGGCCATGATTGTAAATATAAATATTGTTAACTTAGAAAGGTTTAAGATTTAAAATTCATCTAAAGTACTAATCTCTCTTTTTTTTTTCCCCCAGCAGAGTCTTGCTCTGTCGCCCAGGCTGCAGTGCAGTGGCGCAGTCTTGGCTCACTACAATCTCTGCCTCCCAGGCTCAAGCAATTTTCATGCTTCAGCCTCCCTAGTAGCTAGGATTACAGGCATGTGCCACCATACCCAGCTAATTTTTTGTATTTTTAGTAGAGATGGGGTTTCACCATGTTTGCCAGGCTGTTCTCGAACTCTTGGCCTCAAGTTGGTCCACCTGCCTTGGCTTCCCAAAGGGCTGGGAGTACAGGCATGAGCCAGCATACCTGGCCATGATCTCTTGATATGCTTGTTACTTTCTTAGTATATTTTGAATCGGTTGATGTTACAATTAAAGTTTTAGAGATAATTACCTTTTAGATAATGTGTTTAATGAACATTCAAATACGTGATTCAGTCAAGAATTACCAGAAATGTGGAATTTATCTCATATTTTGAGTTTCTTTATGAAAAGTGTCAATCATGTGTCATTAGAGATACTCTATTATTACTAAACTAATTTGTAGTGAATTCGTTTTTTTGGACTTAAAGTTTCTATGAATGAATTAAAAGTGGTAATTCTGTTAACAATGTGATGTCAGTGGTGCCTTCAAGTAATAATATCATAATATTGGATTGGGGCAGTATGCGTGAGAAATATTTCATTATGTGTCAAATACATGATTCATCTAATTATTCCTCATTTTACAAAATATACAGTGTTAAGTGTAAATTACTGATTTTTTTAAACAGCTTTTTTATAGAGTTACTGATGAAAATGCCAAAAATAGTGAACTTAACCTTGTTGGTATGATCTGCTACACCAGCCGACATTATTGTGCCTTTGCATTTCACACCAAAAGTTCCAAATGGGTATTTTTTGATGATGCAAACGTGAAAGAGGTAAGTGACACTTTCTTTAATTGAAATAATGACTGTGATTTTTACTTTTTGTTAATGATATATTGATATTAATATTCAAAAGGATGATATAATTATTATGTAAATAGTAATAAATGAACATAACAATGATAGCATCATTAAGTTCAAACTTTCTTTTGTTATTCTTAAAATTGGCTTATTTTGAAGCCAACTTTTAAAGCAGTCCATTTCCAGAATAATAATAGACTAATGAATATTAGTATACAAATATGTAACTATCAGTGATCTGTGTGTCAGTGATGATCCTTTTTGCCTGATGCATACTTGCTATATTTTTTTTTGTAGATGAGTCACAGTAGTTTTGTATAACTAGCAATGAAAATGTGCTTGCCTTTATTTTTATTATGACATTTTTTTTTCAAATTTTGTGTGTGAAATATAGAAATAGATATATGAGTTATATCTTTTGGTAATTACAGTTGACCCTTGAACAACATAGGAGTGCCAAGCCCCTGTGCAGTTGAAAACCCACGTACAACTTTTGACTTCCTCAAAACTTAACTGCCAGCAGCTTACTATTGACAGACAGCCTTATCAAAAACATAAACAGTCAATTAACACATATTCTGTATGTTATACATATTATATACTGTACTCTCACAGTAAAGTAAGCTAGAAAAAATCTTACTTAGAAAATTATAAGCAAAAGGAAATATATTTACTACTCACTAAGTGGAAGTGGATCATCATAAACGTCTTCATCCTTGCTGTCTTCACATTGAGTAGACTGAAGAGGAAGAAAAGGAAGATTGGTCTTGCTGCCTCGGGTGGTAGAGGCAGAAGAAAATTCACATATAAGTGAACCTGCACAGTTCAAACCTGTGTTGTTCAAGGGCCAACTGTAATTTATTTACTCAAATAGTAATAATATTGTCTAGAAAAGTAGTGAATAATAGTTCTTAATAAGGAGTATTGGAATCACATGAGGAGCTTTTTAAAAAACATATATTCCTGGACTCCTAAAGTTTTGATTCAGTAGTGTAGAGGCAGGTATCTGAAATTTTAAGTTCTCAGGAAATTCAGACATAGCACAGTTGAAAACTGTTGGTCTTGCCAAAGCTTACTGGCTTTGGCAATCTTTATTAAGTAGTAAACTCATTTAAAAATGCAAGTTATTTGGTTGTTATAAGCAAATGATGTAGAATTCTATTTAGTTTCATTTTAATATACAACAAAAGGCCATTTATCAGCACTGTGATTAACACAATACAAATTCAAATATTTGGTATTTAGTGGACTTCTAATTCTACCCATGAAGGATTAACTGCTATAGAAATAGGCATTTCACTGTTTAAAACTAGGACATAGGTGAAACAACTCTAAACATTGAACAATATGCAGTTGAACAGAGAAAAGGGAAACAAATGAGGTCAGCTCTATAATTACCCACTGCTTACTGCCTAAAGGTAGTTTCTGGGTTGCAGTGCAGGCAGTGGGAGCCCAAACAAAGCCCAGCAGTGGCACTGAGTTCTGCAGACTGAAACTGGAGTTCAGGGAGGCCTAGATGGCTAAAATTTGCAGGACAGAATACAAGAAAGAAAACTGCACAGGGAGAAAGTTCTGGAAATTGACAGAAGGGTTTCCTGGAATTTGTGGCTAAATTGTGATTTGTGCATGTGAGGGGTGAACCCACACAAGTTTGGGGTTAGTTGGGAGAGATGGGAAGCATCACTGGAAAACAAAAGGTAGGAGGCAGAGGTTGCAGTGAGCCGAGATTGTGCGACTGCACTTCAGCCTGGTGACAGAGTGAGACTCTGTCTCAAAAAGAAAAAAAGAAAAAAAAAAAAAAGCTTAAAACAAGCCTTGAAAGTTCAAAGCTAATCCCACTTTTAAAATAACACAACAAAATTCAATACCCAAGACTATGAAGTTCAGTGAAATTCAATATGCCACTTCAAAATAGCATTCAATAAAATATTACCAAATATTCAAAGAACCTGAAGAAAAATTAATAAAAACAGACCAGAAATGACTGAGATGGGAATATCAGGGAAGGATAGTAAAACTACTATTTATGTGTAGGGATTTTTTAGATAACGTTTAATAAGCATGAACCATAAAAATAGTTGGTAAATTAGACTTCATTGAAAGTTAAAATTGTTGTTCTTCAGTAAGATACTATTAGGAGAATAAAATGACAAACCATATACTGAGAGAAAATATTTGTGAAGCATGTATCTAATAAAGACTATATCCAGAATATTGAAATAACTCTTAAAACCCAATTAAAAAATCAGCAAAAAATGTTGACAGTTCACCAGTGAAGATATATGAATGGCCTTGAAATGATACTCAGTATATCATTAACCACAATGGAAATATAAATTTAATTCATAATGAGATTCTAGTACTCACCTGTTGTAATGGCCAAAATTAAAAAGACTGACAATACAAATAGTTGGTGAGGATAAGAACAGCTAGAGCTCTCACACGAGGCTGATGGAACCACAAAATTGAACATTCACTTTCAAAACTGTCAGTTTCTTTAAACATATATTTACTATATAACCCAGCAAATCCACTCTTGTGAAAACGTAACTCCACATAAAACGTGTACGTGAATGTTCAGGATAGTTTTCTTCATAATGCTCAAACTAGAAATGACTCAAATGTCAACAATAGGTGAATGGATGAACAAATTGTGGTATAGCTGTACAGTGGAATATAATACTCAGCAAGAAGGACTGAACTATTGAACTGATACATGCAATAATGTGAACAAATCTCAGAAGCATTATGCTAAGTGAAAGAAGTGAGATATAAATGACTACATGCGATGATCCCATTTATATGAAATTCTAGAAGGAAAAACAAAGGTTTAGAGAGTAGATCACTCATTTCCAGGGACTGCAAAGTGGGGTACCAGGTAAGATTTTGGGGTGAGGATTACACGATTGTATTGTCAAAACTCACTGACTTGTACACTATAACTAGATAATTTTACTTCATATAGTACACCTCAATAAAGCTGTCAAAATTTTGGTATTTATATTTAAAATCATCACTTTGCTTGAATTACTTAGTACTTTGATGTAGGAGTTTATTAAGTTTCATCTTGAGTCAATGTGTAAAAACATTTTGCAGTTTCTACTTTGCTTTTACATAGTTTAAATTATTCAAAATTTGGAGGAAGAACTGGGTATATTAATTACCCTGTGAAGGTTTTTATTTTATTTTCACATTGACTCTTCAAAGTCTGGCCAATGTGGTGAAACCCCGTCTCTACTAAAAATACCAAAATTAGCCAGGCGTGGTGGCACATGCCTGTAATCCCAGGAGGCAAAGTCATGAGAATCCCCTGAACCTGGGAGGAGGAGGTTGCAGTGAGCTGAGACGGTGCTACTGAACTCCAGCCTGGGTGACTGTGAGACCTTTTCTCAAAAAACAAACATTACAAACAAAAAAATGGACTCCTCAAGTCTCTTGGAATCCCCAGTGAGGAGGATAAATAGCTGAATATGTGTAGTTCAGAACAGCTCATCAGAATTGTTCTTAAAAGTTCCCTTCCCTGCAAAAATATTCTAGAATGCTTTGTGGTGTTTTTGTTTGGTTTTGTTTTGCTTTTAAATCAATTTTATAGAGTTATAGTGCACAAACATTAAAATACACCTATTTTAAGTGTACAGTTGGAGTTTTGATAAATGTATTCACCCATGTAACCACCATAATCAGTACACAGAACATGTTCATCACCCTAGGAAAAGTCTATCAGACTTCTTTGTTGTCATACTCCCCACACCACCCCAGGACGAGGAAATTGCTGGTCTCATTATAGATTAGTTTTACTCATTCTACAATTTTATATAAATGGTCTCTTATAGTATGTACTATGTGTCTGCCTCCCTTCCTTTAGCATAATGTCTTTAAGATTCATTCATGTTGTTTGGATTCACACTTTATTTTTATTGTGTTTTATGGCTGTACAACAATTTATCCATTTACCTATTAAAGTATGAATAATCTGTTTGTGAACATATTTTTTTCCATTGCTCTTAGATAATACCTAGAAGTGGGATTTCTGGGTTGTGTGGTAAGTGTCTGTTTAACTTTACAAGAAATTATCAAATTGATTTCCAAAGTGGTTATACCAGTTTGCATTCTATGAGAGCAATGTATGAGAGTTCCTGTGTTCCACATTCTCAGCAGCACTTTGTGTTGGTATTCTTCTTAATGTTAGCCCTTCTAGTGTATGTATAATATTATCTCACTGTGGTTTTCATTTGCATTTCCCTTGCGGTTGGTAATATTTTGAGCATCTTTTCTTGTGCTTGTTGACCATTCTTACATCTTTCTTTTGGTGAAATGTCCAGATTTTTTGCCAGTATTTCGCACTGGATTATCTTCTTATTAATGCATTGTAGGGATTCTTTATTCTGCACAGTAGTCCTTTATTAGCCTGATGTTGCTTATTTTTTTTCAATTTCTTAATGGTGTCTTTCTAAGAGCAAAAGTTATTAATTAATTTAGATTAAGTCCATTTTTAAAATATTTTTCTTCTGTGGTTTGGTATGCTAAGAAATCTGCCCTTCCCCAAGTTTGCAAAGATTTTCTCTTTTGTTTTCTTCTGGTTAAGTTTTAGTTTTTGTGTGAGCTATTCTTAGTTAATTTTTTTTGTTTGTTTGTTTTATATGAAGTCAGGTTAAAGTTATTTTTCTCATGGTAAAAGTTCTTTATTTCCAGTTGTAGCACCATTTGTTGAGCTGACTCTTAAATTTCTCCATTGAATTGCCTTGAAGTCTTTGTCAAATGTCAGTCAATCACATATTTGGAAAGCTTTTTAAAATTTATTTGCGCATCAAATTTGTAAATGATAATGTTTAAAAGATTTTTATTTAGACTAGTTACTAAATATAGTTAATTATATAATATGATATATACTTGAACTACTAGCAGCTGCATATCTAAATTTTTTAAAAATATAAAATAACTCAGAGTCTCTGTCTTTTCATGTAACACATTGATTACAAGGTTTTGTTTTGTCTTTATTCATTGTGTTTTTTTAAAAGATTGGAACTAGATGGAAAGATGTTGTCTCCAAATGCATTCGATGCCACTTTCAGCCACTGCTTTTGTTTTACGCAAACCCAGATGGGACAGCAGTTTCTACTGACGATGCACTCAGGCAGGTTGTCAGCTGGTCACATTACAAATCTGTTGCAGAAAATATGGGTAATTCTTTCTTTTAAAAATTCTCCATGTTTTTCTATTATCACAGTGAACTAGGAATACTAATACTCTGAATATAAAATGAATATCGGGGGGAACCCCATCCCCGATATTTAACATGGGTTCTTTTCTATTCCCTAAGTGTGTCGGCTGGTTTGAGAAATAAAGGGAAAGAATACAAGAGAGGGAAATTTTAAAGCTGGATGTCGGGGGGAGACATCACATGTCGGCAGGTTCTGTGATGTTCCCTGAGTCATAAAACCAGAAAGTTTTTATTAGCGGTTTTCAAAAGGGGAGGGAGTGTACGAGTAGGGTGTGGGTCACAGAGATCACATGCGTCACAAAGTAATAGAATATCACAAAGCAAGTGCAGGCAGGGCGAGATCACAGGACCACAGGATAGGGCGAAATTAAAATTGCTAATGAAGTTTCCGCATGCATTGTCATTGATAACATCTTATCAGGACACAGGGTTTGAGAGCAGACAACCTGTCTCACCAAAATTTATTAGGCGGGAATTTCCTCCTCCTAATAAGCCTTGGAGCACTACAGGAGACCGGGGCTTATTTCATCCCTTCGACTTTGACCATAAAAGAGGGATGCCTCCAAGGGGGCCGTTCATAGACCTACTCTCAGGGCGCATTCTCTTTCTCAGGGATGTTCCTTGCTGAGAAAAAGAATTCAGCAATAGTTCTCCTATTTGCTTTTGAAAGAAGAGAAGTATAGCTCTGTTCCGTCCGGCTTACCGGCAGTCAGAATCCAAGGCCATCTCCCTTGTTCCCTGAACATTGCTGTTATTCTGTTCCTTTTTTGAAGGTGCTCAGATTTCATATTGTTCAAGCACACATGCTCTACAAACAATTTGTGCAGTTAACACAATCATCACATGGTCCTGAGGTGACATACATCCTCCTCAGCTTCCAAAGATGACCAGGATTAAGAGATTAAAGACAGGCATAGGAAATCACAAGGATATTGATTGGGGAAGTGATAAGTGTCCTTGAAATCTTCACAATTTATGTTCAGAGTTTGCAGTAAAGACAGGTGTAAGAAATTATAAAAGTATTAATTTGCGGAACTAATAAATGTCCATGAAATCTTCATAATTTATGTTCTTCTGCCATGGCTTCAGCTGGTCCCTCTGTTCGGGGTCCCTGACTTCCCACAACAGATATTGAGGATAATTTCAAATTTGACTTTGAGTAGAGTTGAGGCAATTTTAGTAATTTTTGTTAGTATTTTGGAATGATCCTTTTCTCATCAGTGGCCTCAGAAGCACCTTCAGGAGTTACCCACTATTATGGTCACACAATCACAGAAGAGGCTTCACTAGTAGCTCTTTCTAGAAGTATGTTTTAAGTGATGTAGTAAACTGGAAAAGTCCAAAACAGTTAGGTCGTTTTTGAATGCAGTATAAAGCATTTCAAAATTCTTAAATGATGTCAGTCCTCTTAAGTTTTAAGTAACTTTTTTTTACAGTTAAAAATAATCTGAAAAAAGTGATTCAAACATCTCTTTTCATGGTAAGGAAAGGAATGATCCATTTTTGTTTCTCTTTTTAAGGATGTGAAAAGCCTGTAATTCATAAGTCAGATAATTTAAAAGAAAATGGATTTGGTGATCAGGCAAAGCAGAGAGAAAATCAGAAATTTCAAACTGATAATATTTCATCATCTAATCGGAGCCACAGTCACACAGCTGTAGGGAGAGGACCAGGTACGTGTTTAAATTGTCATTTTTACATAGTTCCAAGTGAGTGTCTTCCTTTTTTCACTTACCCGCAGGATGCTTATCTAGCTTTCCTTGCCTATGAAGAGATAATAACAAGTAGGTAACAAAATTCGTCTTTTGATTTACGCATTTCTCTGAGAGCTGTAGTTTTACCTGACCAGTTTGATTCCATGAGTTGTTTGAGTTTCTCCATGCACTCAGACTGTGGTAGGCCTGAGGCAATCTGGACAGTTACCAAATAAAGCAACAATGTGGCATTTCCTTCAAGGAGTTAATAATCAGCTTGAAGCAGAAAAACGTGAGTTAATAATTTGGCATAAATGCCAAAATTAAATTTACTGGTAGTGAATGCAACAGTAGTTCAAAGTTAACTATTGCCGTAGTTTGTTCTTAACCTCATTTTTATTCAACTCTGCCTTGTTATTGTTATCCCATAACTAACTTTCACAAGTTGAGTTCTGTAACTTGTGTTCAAAATGAGACCTCACGATACTGTGTACAGTTACAGTTTAGAAATACATATAACTCTTGTGTGGATGTTCAGGATGATTTCGTAATCAACCTTTAAATATATTAATGAAATAATGTGTAATCATAAAAGTAACTCATTTAATCAAGGGTAGTAACATTGAAAATTAACAGTTATCCACAAAAAACTAAAATAAAGGCTTTTAAAAAATTATTAAATATTAAATATTAAAAATTTTCCTTTCACAGATTACCTATACTCGTAGATCAAGGCATTTTATGTTTTTCAAACGACATCTAGTTTTAAGCCCAGAAATAGTATATGTGTGTGTAAGAATAGAAGCACTGGAACCAGACAACTTGGGTTCATATTCCCGGTTCTCGACTTATAAACTTTGTGAACTTGGGCAAATTTCTAATTTCTCTCTGCCTCAGTTTCCTTACCCAAAATAGAGATAGTAATTGTACCTTGAAGAAGTAAATGAGTAACACATCTGGCAAATAGTGACCATTCAGTTACCTTTAGCTCTTATTATTTTAATGGCAGATCTCTTTTTTTATACTTGTTTTAGAGGCTATACAAGAAGTTCTAAAAGACAACATGCATCTCCAGTGTCAAGAAAAATCACATTTAGTTTTTAATCATAAAAATACCATTATATACTATATATCTACATATCTATGCTTTTTAAAATTATATCTTAACATTTTTATATAAATCAAGTTTTATTTTTATTGAGCAATTTGAAAAATGATCTGTATCATAGTAAGAAAGATTTCTTTTACAGCTAAGTTAAGTCACATTGATCAAAGAGAAAAGATAAAAGACATTTCCAGAGAATGTGCTCTGAAAGCTATTGAACAGAAAAACTTACTTTCTTCACAAAGGAAAGATTTAGAGAAGGGACAAAGAAAAGATTTAGGACGACATAGAGGTAAGTTAAGATCTTGTACTATTGATTTTAAAAGGAGCTGCTAAAATCTTATTTTAAAACTGAATTTTATAACTTTAATTTCTGTATATGTTAAATATATATTAAAAATATATAAAATATATAAGTTAAACATATTTATATAATATAGAAATATAAAAATTATATATTTCTGTATATGTATATATAAATTAATATATAATTTCTGTATATAGTTTATACATAGCAAATAAATTATATTAAAGTTATTTTTAATAACTTTATTTTTAAGAGGTAAGAGTTCACTGTTGTGCAGCCTAGAGTGCAGTGACACAATCATAGCTCTCTACAGCCTTGAACTCCTGGGTTCAAGCTATCCTCACATCTTAGCCTCCTGAGTAGCTAGGACTACAGGCACATGCCACCACATCTGGCTAAATTTTAAAAAGTTATTTATAGAGATGGGGTCTTGCTGTGTTGCTCAGACTGGTCTTGAACTGCTGGCCTCAAACGATCCTCTTGCCTCAGCCTCGCAAAGTGCTGGGATTACAGGGGTGCCCAGACCTATTATATTTTATATATGTGTATATTTATTAATGAGTAATTTAATACACCTATACTAAATCTAAATATGCAAAATATCCTGATTCTTAAATTTAATTCTAACCTGGGATACTTGTATATGGGTTTCTATGTTTTAACTTACTTATAGATATAATTCACTCATGGCATATTCAAGTAATAAGGAAGTTTATAAAACTAAGTGAAGGGACTTTTTTTCTGGCAATCCCTGACTTTCCCTCTCTTTACTTAGTATTTCCATTTCCACATTATAAGCATGTCTCTTTATGGTTTTATGCTTTTTTCTTTATGGACAGAGCATAATTTAACTGATCGTGATAGACTTTACAGGCTGATTTAAGATTTTTTCTTCAGCAACATCTTTTTTCACACATAACTTTGTACATTTTTGCATATAGCCATAGTATAAAATTCCTTCAGAGGAATTGCTGGGTCAGGATATGTTTACTTTTAATTTTGACAGATGTGGCTCAGTTGCCCTCCTAAAAGACTGAACTAGTCTGCACTCCCACCAATAATGATTGGATGTCTGTTTGTTCACACTCTCAGCAGCAATTGGTTTAACAAACTTTTAAATCTTTACCAATATAAGAAGTGGAAAGTATTTTTAGGATTTTTGTTATGAGTGAGATAGAGTGCTTATTTTTTTAAAAAACTGCCTCAATTTTGATCTACTTTAGAGATCATTTTTTTAAGTTTCTTTTATAAATACCCCTCATTAAGCATACATAAGACCTGGAAAAACACTTTTTAATCTCAAAGCAGTATGTGATACGTACTTGCAATTACTATTTACCTAAAACTCTTTAATATTTTATTTCTAACAGGTATTTGCCTTGTGACTACAAGGTGACTCTGAGGAGTAATTCATGTGTATCTTTAATTTTTTTTTTTAAGATTTGATTGATGAAGACCTTTCACATTTCCAATCTGGATCACCTCCTGCCCCAAATGGTTTTAGACAACATGGGAATCCACATCTATATCATAGTCAAGGAAAAGGATCATATAAACATGACCGAGTTGTACCACAGAGTCGAGCTTCTGCACAAATAATAAGTTCAAGTAAATCCCAGATTCTTGCTCCAGGGGAGAAAATAACTGGCAAAGTTAAGAGCGACAATGGCACTGGATATGATACAGACAGCAGCCAAGATTCTAGGGATAGAGGAAACAGCTGTAATAGCAGCAGTAAAAGCCGGAACCGAGGTTGGAAACCTATGAGAGAAACATTAAATGTTGATAGTATTTTTAGTGAAAGTGAAAAAAGACAGCATAGTCCAAGACATAAACCAAATATCAGTAACAAGCCCAAATGTAGCAAGGATCAAAGTTTTAGTAATTGGCCAAAAGAGAATCCAAAGCAAAAAGGTTTAATGACCATATATGAAGATGAAATGAAGCAGGAAATAGGAAGCAGAAGTTCCCTTGAATCTAATGGAAAAGGAGCAGACAAAAATAAAGGCCTTGTAGAGGGTAAAGTGCATGGTGATAATTGGCAGATGCAAAGGACTGAGTCTGGATATGAAAGCAGTGATCACATCAGTAATGGATCTACTAATTTGGACTCACCTGTTATCGATGGAAATGGTACAGTAATGGATATCAGTGCTGTTAAAGAAACAGTATGCTTCAGGTAATGTAAAAGTTGAGTGAATCATTTTTCCATCACTGTTCTTTCTTGTTAATTGCATGAAGTAATTGTCGAAGTTTGGGGTCAATTAAATAGGATGGAAACAGCATGAGCTGTTTTAAAGAGCTTTAAAAAGTTTGCTGCTTCTAAACACAAGTATGTTTCTGTAAAGAAACTTAGGATATTGCAGTTTATTTGATATTTTAGATTTCCATTTTTAATAGTTATTTCCTGATTCCAAAAATAGCAGCTTTTTATTTTTAGAAAATTTGGAAAGTACTGAAGTTTATTATCATTGTTGTGTCACTGTCAACAATTGACTGGTTTTAAAGCACAGACTTCAATTGGTATCATCTCAGTCATTAAATTGGTTGTTTAATTCTTCTTTTTTTGGCTTGAGGGGAAGGAGTCTCGCTCTGTCGCCCAGGCTGGAGTGCAGTGGTGCAATCATGGGTGACTGCAACCTCTGCCTCCTGGGTTCAAGCGATTCTCCTGCCTTAGCTTCCCAAGTAGCTGGGACTACAGGCACACACCACCATGGCTGGCTAATTTTTGTATTTTTAGAGACGGGGTTTTGCCAGGCTGCTCTCGAACTCCCAATCTCAAGTGATCCACCTGCCTTGGCCTCCCAGAGTGCTGGGATCAAAGGCCTGAGCCATTGTGCCTGGCCTGTTGTTTAATTCTTCAATTTATGTAATGTTTATAATCTCATCTCTAACATTTGTAACTCAGAACTGAAGCTAGTTTTTACTGTCACAACTCATTCTCATGGAAGATATTTTCCCTTTAGCAAATATAAAAAAATTCAATCAAATATCTTTGTGTTCAATTAATTCTAAATACATTTATTATATTACTGTTTAATCCTTCTAACATGTGTTTGTTTGATATTAGCTGATATTTGACCACATTTGTTATTAAAAGGTAGATTTGCAAAAATCAACTGCTCATGTTTTATGAAAATGCTGTTTTAATAAAGACTTAAGGAAAGGGCCAGGCGTGGTGACTCACACTTGTAATCACAGCAGTTTGGGAGGCTGAGGCAGGAGGATTGCTTGAACCCAGGAGTTCAAGACCAGCCTGAACAACATGGAAAGATCTCATCTCTATGAAAAAGTTTTAAAATATTAGCCAGGTATGGTGGCATATGCCTGTGGTCCCAGCTACTTGGGAGGCTGAGGTGGGAGGATCTTTTGAGCCCAGGAGGTTGAGGCTGCAGTGAACCATGTTTGTACCACTGCACTGCATCCTGGGCAAAAGAGCAAAAGGTCCTGGCAAAAAAAAAAAAAAAAAGACTTGACAAGGTAATTTTATAATTCTTGGAATGGAGTAGCCTAGGGTAGTAGAAAGACCAGGACTTTATAACCAGATAGACTTAGATTTTAATTATTGGGCAAATTCATTTGACTTTTACAGTCTTTATCTTCTCTTGTAAAATAAAGATAACTACTTTTAGTATTAAATAATGTACATTAAGCCCTAGAACAACACATGGCATATAATAAATGTTTAACAAATTTTTTTTTCTTTTTTAGAATAAACAAAGGCAATCCATAATAACTGATGTGTTTAGTGTGTATTTTATTTTCTAGTGACCAGATTAAGACAAGCAACCTAAATAAAGAACGTGGGGACTGGACCTCCCTTCAGAGCCAAAATCACTTAGAAGGTAAAAAGCTTATTTGAATATAATAGTTGCTGTAAAAAATAAATTGTAGTAATGTATTGTTTGCTATTATGATGTACCTAAGAGAAAACCCTATATGACTATAAAAATGACTATGAACATTATTTTTAAATAACCCTGAAATATCAATAAACAAATTTTATTAATATATTATGTTTTAAATTATGTTTTAATCAAGTACATGTGGAAAGAAGGAAATCATTCTTTTTTGTATGTATATTGTTATACAAAAGAAAGTATGCTATACTTTCCACATTGGCTTCACAAAGTGTTAATAATGGTTTTGTATCTTACTTTTTATTTGATTGGATAACTATTGCTTTTGAAGTTTGCAGCCTTTTTAATGTGCTGTTTGGATATGTCTCTGATATTAAAGATAGCATCATTATTATTTTTTGATTTAGATATGAAGTCTTTCAATTTTTCTTTTAGTAGCCGTTTGCATTTTAAGTGTCCACATTAGGGACCCTTGAACACGTTGCTTTTCATACTTGTCCTTAAAACTGTTATTTGAGACTCAAATAGGCAGGAGTATCTGTCTATGGTGGCTTGTTAACACTTTACTTTTACATAACAGAAGGTATATTTCTATATTTGCAAATAAAAATGTCATGTTCTGATAGCTTAGAAACTGTCTGTAGACTGTTGGTCTTTCTGACTTTACCCCCTACCTTTTATGCCTATGGGAAATAGGCATAAAAAGAGAATGGTCCATTGGGGTCCATTGAGGTAAGAGTAAAGAAGATAAGAATGGTCCTGTTAGTGATAAGTTTATGAGTAATGATGAGGGAAGTTGAGAGCATTCATACTTGAAGGCTTTTAAAGGATGGGAAAAGCTATGAGAAAAGGGGAAACTCTTATCAGGATAGGTAGGTTTTAGATTATGCAATGGTAGTATCTTCAAAATCTCAAGGTGTTAACTCAAGTTTGTTTCTTGCTCACAATACAAGTCCAGAGGTGGTCAGTGTAGTCTCTTCTTAGGAGTCACTCAGGATCCCAGGCTAAGGGGATATGGGTGAGAAGGAGATAAAGGAAGATATATTGTGGAGAATCACCTGCCAACTCTTAAAACTTCAAACCTGAAGTGACACATGCACTTCCACTTCTGTATCATTGACCAGAGCTAGTCTTCTAACCAGGCCTGATTTCAGAGAAGGTAGAAAACTGCAATTTTACAGGTGCTTGGAATTGAATGGAAGTATGTGTGTACAACTCTAATGACTGTCACAGTAGTTAAAAACTGATAGAAAGATTGATAAACAGCCTTCTGGAAAAGTTCCGTTTGGCAACAATAACTATGCAATGGTGTGGGATGATTATAGGCGATTTGTTAGCAACACATAGTAGCCCAGAAGCAAAGAAAGTTAGAAATTTGAATGTTACAGGATTCAGGGTTGCTATTGGGAGTATATACCTGAAGAATTTGGGGGAGAGAAGTCAAGGAAGATGATTTGCAAAGGAATTATTATGTTGCGATCAAAGACAATGTTTTCAAATTTTATAATTCAGAGGAGTAGAAGGGATATAATTTTTCACAATATAAAAGAGCAATGAACAGCAAATTTTAATGTTTTTTAGTCTTTATTATCCTTAAGGCTTTTGTGGGGATTATTTTTCAGTTTGCAGACAAAGAATGTGATTAAATGTTAAATTATTTTGTTTTCATCAAATGGTATACTATCAGAAGGAAACACTTATATTAAGGAAATAACCTTCCTTTCCCATATTCGAATGTCTCGCCTGATAAAATCTGATAAGTTTTGTAACCAAGTATTACAGGAAACAGTAAAGGGTTGGCCAGAAATCATAGCAAAAGTCAGTGAGATTGAACAATAACTGCAAGTTCAGTACTTGTTACAAAATGATACTTGCTTCCTGATAGTTATAAAAACACAAGATCGTAGAGATTTTGATGGTCAGAAGTACATTGCTACAAGAACTTTGCAGGAGTTTTCCTCATTTAATATGAAAGTGTGTGTGTGATGTACTTAAAAATGCTTTTTTTTTGGTAACGTGTATAACCAACTTTACCATTCTAATTATTTTTAAGTGTACAGTTCAGTGGCATTAAGTATATTCACATTGTTGTGCAACGATTACTACCGTCCATCTCCAGAACTTTTTTATCTTCTCAAACTCAAGTTCTCTACCCATTAAACAGCTCCTCATTCTCCCCTCCTTCCAGCCCTTTGGCAATCACCATTCTACTTTTTGTCTCTGTGGATTGGACTATTTTAGGTATCTCATAAGTGGAACCATATGATATTTCTCCTCTTGTGTGTGTGGGTTATTTCACTTAGCATGATGACTTCAAGGTTCATCCATGTTGTAGATGTATCAGAATCTCATTCCTTTTTAGACTGAGTAACATTCCATTGTATTATATATCACATCTTGTTTATGCATTAATCTGTAAGTGGACATGTGGGTTGTTATTACCCTTTGGGTATTGTGAATAATGCTGCAATGAATATTAGTGTGCAAATGTCTGTTTGAGTTCCTACTTTGAAGTCTTTTGAATATATACCCAAAAGTGCAGTTGCTGGGTCCTGTGGTATATGTTTAATGTTTTCAAGAACTGCTGTACTATTTTTATAGAGCTGCACCATTTTACATTCCCACCAGCAGTGCATACGGACTCGTCTCTCCATATCCTCACTGGCACTTATTTTCTGTTTTAATAGGTATTGTATTGTGTTTTCGTGTAACCCATTCTTTATTTAATTAAATAAATTATACTATTTTAAAGTTATTTCTGATTTCATAAACTTTCTACTTCAAAGCCTACCATGGTTCTCTAAGTCAGTCTTTGACTTGAGAACATCTGTTTGTGTTGTACCTTGTGGTATTATATATTCCCTTCCCTGCGTCTGGGACTGAGAATGTGTGGAAAAGTGATATAGGAATTTTTCCCCCAAATTAAAAACTTGCTGTGCATGGTTTTTTCCCCCCACAAGGGACAATTTGTTACAATTTTGTGACTATATATGATTTTCTTGGTCATTCCTATTTCTTATTTATAAAATGGGGGCACACTTAAAGCTGTGGAGTGAGGAATGATTGGATGCTGTCAAGAAATGGGGGACATTACTGAACTGTAGAATCATTTTATATCAATAGCTAAAAGACTTAAAATTCAAAGAGCCTTAGAAATTTCTTATTTTCATATTTTCTTGACATCTTGTCAATTTTTAATATTAGTCTATGCAAGTATATTTAATGGTAGAGGACCAAAATCTATAATAATGCTGCTGTTATTTCTGCTTTTTTCCCATTAATAGAGATATTCTATAGGCTTGTCTGCCTATGTCATGATGAATTCTGCTGCAAAAATCCATCCCTACACTGCCTAAATCTGTTACATTTGGGAACATTGTTTAAATTGCCACAATGCCATTTGGAATGTTTTAGCCCCCTTTTTAAAATGGAATTGTAGTGGAGGGATTTCACACGCCTTAAATTACATTCAGGACAGAAGAAATGATTTCTTCTTACAAAAATGATTTCTTCTGATAATGATGACTTCAAGGTTCATCCATGTTGTAGATGTATCAGAATCTCATTCCTTTTTAGACTGAGTAACATTCCATTGTATTATATATCACATCTTGTTTATGTATTAATCTGTAAGTGGACATGTGGGTTGTTATTACCCTTTGGGTATTGTGAATAATGCTGCAAATCTTAAATCTTTCAATTTTTCTGAATTTCGAAAATTTATTTCCAAGTAAAAAGTTAAAAGATTACAGTAGACTAATGGTTGCACAGCAATGTGGATGCACTTAATACCACTGAACTGTACACTTAAAAATTGTTCAAATGATAAATTTTGTTGTGTATATTTTACCACAATAGAAAGAAAACCCTTTAAGTGTATTACATACTTTTTCATATTTAACTGAGGACACCTATTGCAAAATTCTTAGAGCAATGTGTTTTGACCATGAAAATCTCAATGACCTTATGTTTTTATAACAGGAAGCAAGAGAAGTAAAGAAATGAATTTTTGTCTGTCTTTCCAAACCTTTGCTGTGAATAGCATACCTGGAGTAGAAAATGAAACTAAGTGCTTAGTTTGCGTTTTGTTTGTTTTCAAGTGGACATGCTTGGTATTTATATTGCAGAAGATAAGGAACTAATGATGTACAGGGAGAGAAAGGCATAAAGAATAGAACACAACAGTAATTGATGGAGTAAGACCCTTGAGGTAGAGTGAGAAGGAAACAAGGTTGATACAGGATTTGAATGAAAAGGATGGTAGCTTTTCTGTGATGAAGGATAGAAAGATGAGAGCAGATATTGATTAATGTGTATTTGTGTTAGGTAGAACAGTTGAAGTGTTTATACCTAATGGACTTTCTTTTTTCTATGAGGTGCGGTTATCTACTGAGATAAGTACATAGTAGGTTAGGATATTTACAGATGATGTGTAACAGATCACAAAAGAATTCAACTTTTGCCATTTGCTTCCGGAGTCTGCAATACTTGGCTTAATCTCAGTTGATCCTAGAAGTCAGGATTAGTTAATGCTGAAAGTCATGATTTGGGACATAACAAATAAGAGTGAAAGAAGTTAATCAGTGGTTTAAAAAATCTGTTAAGTCCCTTATTTCTTCTTGTACAAATAGTCTGTACCTTTACCTTCTTAAGTGAAATATACTGTCCTTAATGTTGTTACATCCTAGAATTAAGTCAATAAAAAATTTTGTCAGAACTATTTGTACATTTCTCTAAGAGGTTTTTGGCAAACTACAGAGTTTGTTCATTTAAGATAAATACATTAGAAAGTGTATTTAGAGAAAGAAGTACTTTTGTCAGCCGATTTTTTTTTTCTATGCATATTAAACATTTTTTTCTCTAAGAATTCACAAACTGGTAACACATAATCCTTTCTCTTGCTGTGGCCTACGCAGGACCACCAAATGGCTACCTATGTACTTTTTTGAAACTAAACTTCTGGGATTGAAATTTACTTTGTAGCA